ATTAATAATTATTAGCACTAAGTCTTAAATATTTGTAACAGATATATAGACGCTAATAATGTAAATAAACTAAACTAAAAACATAGCTGAGTGGTTTTAGACCTGATAAAACATGATCTGCAAGTTTATTAAACAGTACATTAACAAACAGACATCAGTTTTTTATGTGTTTGTCCTCTTATTGATGATAAATTGTGTATTCACATTGTATAAGTAGCGTGGATCCATGAGGCGTAGTCGAAGTATTTTTAGTACCCTCATGAGCTATGGGTGAAACATTTTTGGTTTATAGGTGTAATTACAAATTACATTTCTGCACGCAGGTCAAGATTCAGAAACAAACATAACTTCAACACCAAGTATGGATAATGCTGTGAGTATATAAATATATAAAGTATTAGTTTAAGAAATCTTTTAAACAGCCCATTATACACTACCAAATACCTCATATATTGATATGATAATGATAATGGTGATCATAGCAGTTAAAGTGCTTACCTCTAACCAATGCAACCTGGATTCGATTCCCGGATTGGCGTCGTATGATAGTAGAGCTGCTTGTTGGTTCTCTCCTTTGCTTTGAGGGGTTTTCACCGAGTTTTCAAGTTTTCCTTCTGCTGCAAAATTATTTTTCTGTTATAATTGTAATTAATTTTTCTTTCTGTATCGTCAGATATTTGGTGGGCATGTTGAAGCATCAAGTACACCAGTGGTATGTTGTGTTGTAAATGATCCAATTGATGGTTTTCACGGTGGCCATGTTGGAGGAACTTAACAAAAGAATTATCAATGAATTCTTTTATTATATCCTCCAACATGGCCACCGTGTCTTTTGTTATTTAATTTACTTGGGAATGGTTGAAAACCATCAATAGTGCTATGCCTCTTAGGGAGGTACTCTGTTTTTTTCAAATACTCCAGTTCCCAGCTCTCTATAGAGGCTTTGCACCATCATGTGTTGGCAGACATGAAGCACAACAATAGAGTCTTTTTCCGCTGGAAAACTGAAATCTTGGCGTGACCTCGGCACCTAAAAAAAATAGTCTCCAAAACAGGCTCTATTACCATGGGCTATCACTAATACCAGTACTAAAGCATAAGTTACATGCTATCAAGGCTAACGCTGAGCAATAGAGGACTTGAGATAAGAAGTTTTGTATGTCATCATTCCATCACTCTTTCATCCCTCCCTCCCTCCCCTCTCCCTTCGTTTCTCCCTAGTTCCCTCCCTTTATCCATCCATTCACTATCCATTCATTCATGCATCCATCCCTCCAATCAGTGATTCGCTCATTCATTCATTTATTTGTTCTACGTAGATTGGTTTGACTCCTGAACAAAAGGAAAGAATAAGACTAAACAGAGAACGAGCTCTAGCAAAACGAAGAGCTCAATCAAGTCAACTAGCAAGCTCGACGTCACAAAATTCATCTCAAGGTATTGATATTAACCATTCAAATCCGAATGTTATTTTATCTGAAAAAAATTGACGAACTCACTAAATATTTTGCTTTGTAGATAACTCCAATGCTATGAACGCACAGGATTCTTTGGCAGGAGGATCTCAAAACAACAGGGAAGAAACTGAGCATATACCAAGTGAAAATAGCCCAGAACGCAGCAAACTCAATTTCGAGACAGATTTTGAAGAAACAGGAACTAAAGAGGTTGAAAACGTGGATGTGTTAAGAGATACTATGGAAAGTGAAACCACGGGAAACAAGGAATCCATGGAAACAGGAATAACGAGTGACAAGGAAACCATGCAAACTGAAATCTTGCCTGAGAAGGAAACCATGGAAACGAAAATCACTGGTGACAAAGAAACCATGGAAACGGAAGTTACAGGAGACAAGGCAACCATGGGAACAGAAATCACGGGGGGAAAGGAAACCATGGAAACGAAAATCACTGGTGACAAGGAAACCATGGAGACGGAAGTTACAGGAGACAAGGAAACCATGGAAACAGAAATCACGGGGGGGAAGAAAACCATGGAAACGAAAATCACTGGTGACAAGGAAACCATGGAAACTGAAGTTACAGGAGACAAGGAAACCATGGAAACGAAAACCACTGGTGACAAGGAAACCATGGAAACTGAATTTACAGGAGACAAGAAAAACCGTGGAAACAAAAATCAACAAGGAAGCCATGGAAACTGAAGGTACACGAGACAAGGAAACCATGGAAACTGACATCTCGCGGGATAAGGAAACCATGGAAACGAAAATTGCACAGGACAATGAAACCATGGAAACAAGTCACGCCGGATAAGGAACCATGGAAACAACAGAGCTGACAGTAACCACGGAAACTTAAAGTATTATTTTAGCTAAACCCTTAGAATCATCGATTAAAGGAAATCACTGGACTACTGTAATTTGATGATCAGATAGTGGTGATAATAATGGCGATGGTGATGTGATGTGATGATATCGTGGTGGTGATGATAATGACGATGGTGATGGTGGTGGTAATTGGAAGATGATGCTTAGGATAATAATTGCTGATTAAGATAACTAAAGCTGATAATGCTGAAATGTCTGCAGAAAGTCGCCCCTCTTCCGACCACGTAGAAATCTTTCTGGCATTCGTATTATATATAGATATCAAGACAATATTAATAAGTAAGCTTACTTAATATTCTCTTGATGGATATCTAACAAATTAGAAATACATTTCGAATCTTCCATTTTAGTTGAGTTACAGAACTATTAATTGTTAATAAAGAAACGGTTTTATATCACTTAGTATTGCAACCTCTCTAAAGAAACCACATGGAGTTAGCAAACACAATGAAATCGAACAACTTGCCAGCATAAATCTGAACTAGTCCGAAACAAATAGTAAAATGGAAAAAAAAACACTTTTAAATTACTTAGTATTGTAACCTCTCTTAAGCGACCACATGCAAAGCGACCACCAAGACTACATAAGAACTAGTCTGAAAACAAAAGATACTGAAGTAAAAAGCTCAGCGTAGATAAGAAGAATCTTAAAAAAACATCAAAAGCTCCTTTGCGTTAATTCTCAGATTTTCTTTACACAGCGGGAATTTGTTTATTTTATACTCGCACAGTAATGAATATTTTCAAAAGTGATAATCATAGCCGTTCGTAACTAAAACAAGGAGAAGGACAGCTAATTATAAATGTAGCGAATGAATCTCTATGCGGTCCGCCACTTTTCAGCCATTTCCCATTAGATTTAAATTTAAAATTAATAACTTGTTGGTCGGTGCAAAAAAGCGGTACTCAGAACTACATGTTTGAGCTCGTAAATCAAATGCTCGTCCAATTTCTAAGAATTAACTTCAGAAATAAGCTACTCTACGTTTTTGCCGAGATCGATTGTTCTAGAGTTGCTAATTAGATCCTTCTTTTCTATTTCACCGAAGGGAAGACTTTACGAACTATAGCCTTGTGGATTTGAAATATTTTAAAAATCCCAAATTAAAGCGAAAATAAGCTTTTTGTTGAACTGCTTTTACTCAAAAGAAATTAAAGATAGAAAAGGCAGAAAAGATGGAAAAAAGTTTTACCAGCCATTCTTAATTGGACGGCCCGTAGGGAAACAAGTTTTTGGTAAGTGTTTAAACAGCCTTGGTAACATCTTAAGGCAATCCAATATCGTATCACTCAAGAAAATTGATTAGAAAAAATTGCCGCTATTTATATTCGGCCATCTAACTAACGCTAAAAACTCTCTTGTAGCTAAAAAATTGCTTATGGGATTTCACAACTAATCTTAAAGGAAAGTTCTATAGGGCTGCCGCAGGCAAACCTCGACCGAACAAGTGGACAGTAACTTTTCAATGGTGTTTGAATTTACAGGATATTGGTATGATATTTCGCCTGAGAGAAACTAAAAGTCGATAGAGCTTTAAGATCCTGAACTTGTCAAAAAAGTGTGGTCGTTTTAGGTTGGCCTTTGAAATTACCGCAGGCAATAGCATTATATCAGAAGAAGAAAAAACTGACAGTAATTGAATAAAAAAGGCGGGAATCAATACGAAGACGTTTTGAAAAAAGAATATGTTTATGGGTCTATTGTGTTAAGTTTTCCGCTCTAGCGACTACGATGTTGAATTCGTGAATCCCGGCTGCCTTAAAACGACAGGAGAGAATTTCGTTTTGTTAATTCAAACTCGTTCGACGAATTTGGTCAAAATTCCCGAAGAAATGGCGAAAAGGGACAAGACTTTACTAAGTTGTGGAATCATCTTCGTTGTCGTTTTTACAGTTAGCGCGGGTAAGTAGGTACTTATGCAATGATTCCATCAGTATTTCTGATTTGCGTTTTTTTAGTTAACAAGAATAACTTAGTCAACATAAATGGCTTTGTTTGGTTTCTCTCTTGTATGGACTATTTCGGAAGAATCGTCCAAAAGTCTTATTAAAGCTACATTGGGTCTGTCTAGCTATATCGACTTTCCGATGGTCATTTACCGTTTTAAGGCCATTATTGATGTAATAGAATTATAACTTAGTACGATTTAAAACACTTCAGCGTATGCATAAATAAAGGCAAATGACAAAGCAATCGTTCTCACAGCTTGAAACTACTCGATCTTGCTCATCCAAATATTTAAAATGTCCAAGAAACTATTTAAATCTTTCTTTTATACGTAACTTTTAACCTGATCAGTTTCACAAAACTTCGTGCAGAAATAACTATTCTGCGTACGCCGACCATGTTTGTTAATCTGTTTGTTTGTAATTGTTAGCTGTAATTTTGAAAGATTAGTGGCTAATCTGTAAAAAGATTCGTTTTTATACTCAAAACTTGTGAGTAAACGATAGTTGAAAATTTTATCGAGTAGGCTTAGTTCAAGACTGTTTCGCGACGTTCTCTATGGATTTGTTGTTGAAAAACGTCGCTCGGTTGCTACACACTAAACTTGACTGCTTTCTGTCGATTAATTGATCTCATTATTACTCTGGTAGCTTAAAAGTCATCGAAACTATACCAAGAAACCAAGATGACGTCAAGAATAAAACATTGGTTCTCATCAGTTAGCGATTTTCAAAATAATTTCGATGCCATTTGCTGGTCAAAACTCTCCTTTTGTTGTCTTATAATAAATCGTCTAATCTTTCATTCAAATTTTCTACTTTCTCCAAAGATTCCATACTGAGCTTGTTCTCAAAATAAGCCAATTATCAATTGTTTTTAAGAATTAGTTATAGCCTAGTTTTGAAAATTTAGTTCAGCATTATAATTTTGGTTGTAAGTATTGGACGTGAGCAGTGTTAAGTGAAAACCTTTATATATGAAAAAAACATTACGAATTATTCAACACCTGAACGAACTACGCTAATCTATCTATCAGTTTATGAATTTGGCTTATAATTACAATAAATATCAGCGTCTAATCATAAGATTGAGCCTATATATATCTGTTATTTAAAAATATATGCTCTTTAGATAGTAATATTAGAAAGTAAAGTTAGTAAAGTTAATAAGTCCAAGAAACTTGGAGCTTAAGTAAGTATTCGCTCAAAATATAAATAACAAAATAACCATATTATATTATTCTGGATGCGCTATAAGTGAAGCAACTTCTGGAACTAGCCCCTAACTTGGGCATAATCTTTCTTCCATCCCAGACCAAGTGTCATTCCCTAGGGTATCATTTCTTTGCTTAATGGTTGTGCATGAGAAGACACATGAATATGGATACAACTCAAACAAAGAATGTTATTCTCAAGACCAAGTGTCATTCCCTAGGGTATCATTTCTTTGTTTAACGGTTACACATGACAAGACACATGGATATGGATACAACTCAAACAAAGAGTCTTATTCTCAAGACCAAGTGTCATTCCCTAGAGTATCATTTCTTTGTTTAACGGTTGTGCATGACAAGACACATGAATATGGATACAACTCAAACAAAGAGTCTTATTCTCAAGACCAAGTGTCATTCCCTAGAGTATCATTTCTTTGTTTAACGGTTGTGCATRACAAGACACATGAATATGGATACAACTCAAACAAAGAGTCTTATTCTCAAGACCAAGTGTCATTCCCTAGAGTATCATTTCTTTGTTTAACGGTTGTGCATGACAAGACACATGAATATGGATACAACTCAAACAAAGAATCTTAATCCAAAGAGAATGATATATGTGGTCTGAAATGGGAAAACATTGCGCCCAAGGTGAAGAGGTCTATTTATTTATATCAATTCTCTAAAGTTTTTTTCCTTGAGCGTAATGTTTTTCCATTTCAGACCACATGTCATTCTCTTAAGAATGAGATTCTTTGCTTGCTTGAATTGTATTCATATCAAGGGCGGATCCAGTATCCATATTTATGTGTCTTCTTACGTACAGCCGTTAAACAAAGAAATGATACCTAGTGAATGTCACGTGGTCTGAAATGGGGAAACATTAGAAACATTTAGCATCAGGTTTACCGCTAAATGTTCGGGGTCAGGCTCAAAAAACACGCCTGCAAACAAGGAGAAACACTCAGCATCAATGAAATGCCATATGGCGGCTGTTCCAGCAACAGCTTCGTCATAACGCCTTGCTAAATGTTGAAAGTTTGACTCGGAAAACGCCTGACGTCGAACTGAAGTTTGAGGTTTGCGCTACGGCAAGAACGCCGTGTTAAAGGTCTCTATTTCATCGGAACGCGCACATCACAGGAAACTCAACGAATGGGGAGCGGGCCACATTTCTTTTACCTTGGACATGAAACCAGCAGTTTTTTTAATCCTAAACTTGAAACTATCGTTACAGGAAGGTTTGACGGAGAAGCTGAACACAAGCTCATCGCCTATCTTTTCGACGGCTACCAAAAGGATGCTCGACCGGTATTCAATAAAGCCAATGCGGTCCATGTGACACTAGACATTGCGTACAGTCAGCTTGTAGATCTGGTAAGTACAGATGGGTCAAGAATTCCTTTGGGTCGAACTCCCAAATATAAATTTTCATTGAAATGTAGAACTCGCTCTCTTAAACGTCCAGATGTCAAATGGTTTCCCATTTCGGACCACGTTTCATCCCCTGAATCGACCAACATCAACCGTCTAAATCTTACTATAATTTTCCTTTCTATTTTTACGTCATCAGGATGGTAAAAACCAAATTCTTTCGAGCAAGGTTTGGGTCCGTCAGGTAATCTAGTTCATCCGTGTCTTTGCGGTATTTACCGAAGATCTTTGGAACACTCAGACTCTGGTCAAACGTCGAACTTCACATTAAGATAATGGATGGATAACAAGGCGGTCTTCTTTGATATCATTAGGTTCGGCTCATGTGAAGTTCGACGTTTGACATGAGCGTCTGTGGTGTATGTAATAGGAATATTTATATCAGTTATGTGGCCATGTAGGTACTCCGCCCATGATATGACGATAATGAAATAATGTCGAATATTCGTTCGTAAAAAAAAGATGTATTGATATTAATCCCGCACTTATCTTGCACTAGATGTGGGAAAATCCATTCCTCACGTGGGACCCTAAGGAATACGGAAATGTGACCAGTATTAATGTGCATCCTGGTATGGTGTGGAAACCTGATTTAGTCCTGTACAACAAGTAAGCTATATTTGTTGAGTTTCAATACTCTGTCTTAATCCTTCTTTTTCCTATCACGTGAGAGGAATATCATTCAGTTTCCTTTTTACTGACTTCATTTGTTATATTTTTGGTGGTATTAAAGTGGGCCCACTCTGATCGTAATGTGCATGGCTTGATCAATAGCTGGATACGAGTCATTGAAGTGATGTCATCAGTGAAACTTCATTCTGCATTTTGACGTCGTTTCTTTTGTAAAACACATAGTTATTTGTACACTATGACGTCATCACAATGATGTCATTACTTGAACATCATCTAGCCTGCGTAGCCAGGCGTTCCTTGTGGGTTTTGGGGAGGCTTCAAGCCCCCCAAAACCCACAAGGAACGCCTGGCTACGCAGGCTAAACATCATCATACTTAGGTTGAAAATAAGCCTGAAGCGAGATGACGTTTTACCCCCGACTCTATACCATAATAGTTTTTTAAATTCTTTCATATTAAATTTTTTGATTCCTTAGAGAATACAGGAACAATAGAAATAATTAAATAACAAAAGCAGTGTGAAAAGGATTATGGTCTAGAGACGGGGTTAAAACGTCATCTCGCTTCAGGCTTATTCACTGATAAAGCGTGGAAGTAGTCCTGCAAAGCGACAGCGTTATTAATGCCGTTCGTCACACTCCTTTTTTGATTTCTCTCTGACATGTCTAACAACTTACGACAGAGAAAGAAACTATGAAAGATCGTTATTTTTCCTTTTCTATCTTTTTTTCAGCATTGGAATCGGACGCACAGGCGCCCTGTACTCTTTCGACACCAAAGTAACGTTAGAACACAACGGTAAAAACTCCTGGTTCGCCCCGACTCAGATCCAAAGCATTTGTAAGATCGACATCACGTATTTCCCTTTTGACACGCAACACTGTTCCCTCGTGATAGGATCATGGACGTATCCTGGCAACGCGCTCAACCTCGTGCAACAGCGCAACCAATCAGATTTGTCCAAATACACACTCAGTGGAGAATGGGACTTGCTGTCGGCGCCTGTGCAGCGCAACGTAGTCAAATACGCTTGTTGCAAGTATCCTTATATTGATATCACGTATTACATCCATGTGCGCAGAAAGGTTTTGTTTTACCTCAGCAACTTGATTCTTCCGTCGATAGTTCTGACTATACTCACGGTGTTTTCTTTCTATCTTCCTCCTGAGTCTGGAGAGAGAGTTTCTCTGGTCATAACGATCCTTCTTGGCTTGACTGTTTTCATGCTAGTGTTCACTGAGAGCGTACCTAACACATCAGAAGTGATTCCACTAATAGCTAAGTACACCATAATAGTCATGAGCGAGGTTGGCATCTCTCTGCTTGTTACTTGTTTCGTTATGAGAACCTATCACAAGGGTCATCAAAAAGACGTACCAAATTGGGTACGATTTTGGGTGATTAAAGTCCTAGCGCCTATTCTCCGAGTCAAGCAAGCCCAGAAGCAAAATGGAAACAATAACGATGCAAAAACGAGCCAACCAGAAGTCAGAAATGGAGAGAAATACTTGCGTCGTGGGCCGTACACTTTCATCGCGAAAAAACGCGACTCTACCCCTCCCTCCCTTTGCTATTCACCTTCACCAGACAGTGGATGCAGAAAGGCAGAAAGCGTTGAGAGTAACGGTATAAACATAATGCGTAGTACTTCGAATGAAAAACTCAGTGAACTTTGCGGCGGCATGGCTGCTATCTTGAAGCATCTAAAAGGAACAAGGCAAGTGGAAGAACGAATCGCTGAATGGCATTTTGTAGCAACTGTATTGGATTCTGCGTTCTTTTGGCTATTTTTGACATCTATGCTTGTATCGACCGTGGCGTTCTATTTCCAGATTCCTTATGTTAAAGTTCCTTTATAGATGGGTGTACCTTGTGTTTTCAGTTGGATATTTGTACGTGTTTCAGAAGGCACTTTGTACACCAAAACCAAACTAAACCCAACATCAATTTTATAGAGCCCTAAAACAATTCCTAAGCTAATCTAAATATGGGCATAGCTTACTCACAGATCGAACAAGCTTGAAGGGTCGGTTGGGAATCAGTTTACTGAGTGTGTTTGACTTTGCGGACGGAGAAAATCAAAGATGAGCCGGAAGAAAAACTTTCGTTATACAAGGGGAGAGTCATGAACATATTCAACTCATGTGATGCTGAGTCCAGGAATCAAACCTGAGACTCCAGAGGTAAGAGACAGTAAGCTACAGTACTCTTGCATGATTCCTCCAAGTGCATAGATACAACGATATGGTGTTGACGGATTTCTTTAACAAAATAACTTCCCTCAGCTAAACCGCTCTTAGTATAGGCCTGCGTTAGGGTTAGGTTTTGGAAAACCTGGGAACTAGTTGCGTTATACTATCTCTCGTTGGAATGTACATTTGTGCGCATAAGCAACACCAATAAATTGACAGTGCACCCTTCCTAAAATTGTCTCGAATGCAAGGCTAACATGAAAATACAAAATAAATGGCACAAATTCCATCGAGAATCAATAGACTTAATATCGTGAAAAAACAAATTCGTAAGGAAAATATCATGACAGTAAGAGAGTACTTACCCTTTTAATCAATGCGGCATTCTAAAACCTTGCGGTTTTGACCTGCGGTTCCACAGAGGTGACTTGTTCAATTATTTGATGGTCAATGTGATCCACCACTTCCGCATTCTATCTTCTTTATCTTTAGCAGCTGAAATCTAGGAAAAGTCAGAAGCAGTTCTTCTAAAAATATTTCTCCAAAAATGAATCATGATAATAACGCGCACGGGACAAATGAAATAAAATATAACCACATTGATTAAGGTGTTCATAGATTACGTTACTTTTAAACGGTGCAGTTTAGAGCTAGAAACGTTTTATTGCCAAAATTTGTAAACGTTTTTATAAATTATGTAATGTAAGTTGCGGCATGCAATGTTTTTCTTCAGTAAAAACTTTATTGAATTCGCTTTAGCTTATTTATTAAGGGAGTACCGTGGTCGGAAATGATACAACATTGATTAAGTATATCCAGTCTGTCCATTAGTGCAGTTTTCGTATGACTGTGAAAAGCTCAGTGCCGTAAGCGTGACGTGCAGTGACCGTGAAACTTTATAGAATTTTAATTGGCTGATTTTTTTCACGCGCAATATGATTGGTCTAAAAGTGCCGTGATCTTGGCGTGACTGTGTCCGCGCCGTGTTTATGCCGTGTTCCGGGTATTTGATTGGATGGAGAGTAAATTCTCGTGCAATGTGATTTGTCTGGCGTGTCCCTTGCCGTGTCACAACCGTGTTCGTGCCGTGAACTTTTCACAGTCATACGAAAACTGCACTAAGTACAAAAGTACATATATACATACATATATATTTAACAAATAGACATCAGTTTTTTATGTGTCTGTCCTCTTATTGATGATAAATTGCGTCATCACATTGTCAAAGTACGCCCGGTGGATCCGCATACTGCTTTGACAATGTGATGACGACATTTATTGTCAATAAGAAGACAGACACATAAAAAACTGATGTTTATTTGTTTTTTTACGATAACAAAAACTATAAAAACTTCTCATTTTAGTGATCAAAACAACCAGCGGAAAGAGCGCGCGCTCGTTGACGTCAGCTTTATCTGTCTGTCCTCTTATTGATGATAAAAAATAACCAATCAGCGTGCAATATGAAGAAATGCTCTACCTTTCTGAGGCAAAATCTACCAGCAATAGAGCTATTTCAAAAAATGTTGGCCGTGAAGGTTATGTTGCATCTTGCATGCTGCATCTTGCATGTTGCTTGCGTTGAAAACTAAAATGCACCCGATCTGTTGATATTCATTTTGTTCAGTTGGCAAAGCGATATATATATATATATATATATATATATATTTGTTTGAGAAGAAAAAGTCAAGACAACATTTTTCCCGACAAGCCTGTTTCGTGAATTGCTTCACTCTTCAGGGGATTTAATGATAAGA